TTCAGGCGTGTGTCCGCTTGGCCCCGCATATCTCCCCTGTTCCTCCTTCCTCCCGCCTCCTTCTACATCCTCCTTGTGAGGGGAGCGGGAGAAGGACGAGGCGGAGGAGGAGGGAGAGAACGCGCTCCTCGCGATTTGAGTCGTTTGGGGTTTCTCGTCCTGGTGTGAGTCGTTCGGGCCCTTCTTCCTGGTGTGAGTCGTTCGGGCTCTTCGTGGTGTGAGTCGTTCGGGCTCTTCGTCCTGGTGTGAGTCGTTCGGGCTTCTCGTGGTGTGAGTTGTTCGGGCCCCTCATCCTGGTGTGAGTCGTTCGGGCCCCTCCTCCTGGTGTGACTCGTTCGGGCTCCTCGTGCTGTGAGTCGTGAGGGGCCCGCGTCGTGGTGTGAGTCGTTCGGGCTCCTCGTGGTGTGAGTCGTTCGGGCGCCTCGTCCTGGTGTGAGTCGTTCGGGCCCCTCCTTGTGGTGTGAGTCGTTCGGGCTCTCGTGGTGTGAGTCGTTCGGGCCCCTCGTCCTGGTGTGAGTCGTTCGGGCTCCTCGTGGGGCCTCTTGGGGGCCTCTTGGAGCCTCGTGGGGCCTCTTGGGGGCCTCTTGGGGGCCTCTGGGGGCCTCTTGGGGGCCTCTTGGGGCCTCTTGGGGCCTCTGGGGGCCTCTTGGGGCCTCTTGGGGGCCTCTTGGGGGCCTCTTGGGGCCTCGTGGGGCCTCTTGGGGGCCTCTTGTGGGCCTCTTGGGGGCCTCTTGGGGCCGCTTGGGGGCCTCTGGGGGGCCTCTTGGAGGCCACTTGGGAGCCTCCTGGGTGCCTCTTGGGGCCATCTTGGGGCCTCGTGCGGCCTCCTCAGAAGCGCAAATGAGAGCTGCCCCCTGAGAAGGACAACATGAGCCCAAAACCTTTGTAAATCAATGGTTTTGCTATGAGGGAAGATGAGCGCGGCCCCCTCAGAAGGCCAAGATGGGGCCAAAACCCTCGTAAAATCAATGATTTCTGCTTCAAAGACGAGCAGAGGGGCCAAACTCGGCCCCCCCGTCGGGGCCAGAATCCTCGTGAGGGTCGTCGTTTTTTGGCCCTCCGAGGAGTCGAAATGGACCCCCCTGAGAACACTCGGGGCTCCCTGTCCAGGCCCAGGGGGAGGGGGTAGGGGGAGGGGTAAACCCTTCCCCGAAGGGGAAGAAGGGGGGTTGGGGGGTTGAGAACAGAGAAAGCTCTCTAAACCACTCACGCCCAAAGGGCTGGTGGGATTTCTATAAGGTGTGGTGCAATTTCATACACGCTAGCGCAAAATTGCTATACGTTCATACTCTCTACACGGCCGAGTACGATTGCCTAAATTTACAGTTGCCCCGACAGTGCTGTGTGGATGTACATTTGCCTCGCAAGCGAATTGGAAAACCTGTTACGACGAGCACAACGACACATTTTGAGGATGATGTTGAACATCCCGCGGCTTCGGCATGAGACAGCAAATCCAACGCGCTGGACAGATGGGATCACGCGTGAAGTACAACCCCTGCTCAGGAAGAGCAGATGGGCAGCACAAGCCGCGGCCGATTGTCATACATGGACCTGCGAGATTTTGTCTTGGGAGCCCCACTTGCGCGCACAATCCAGACAGCCAGTTCGCAGACAGGCAAGACCAAAAAGGACGCTGGGCCGATGCTGTATGCCGGCATGCGCAGATACGATGCCTGGACCGACCTGGCCGGCGCACCAACGAGGAGTGGGCTGGAGCACAGCTTTGTAGATGCGATGCCTGGGCCGACCTGGCCAGCGCACCATCGTGGAGTGAGTTAGAGCACAGCTTGGCCCATTCCGAGAGCACCTGTCGGGTCGGGCGAAGGGGGGGGGATTGGGGAAGGGGGGGTTACGAAATCTGCTGCACGCAGCTGGTTTCGGCCCCACCGAGGGGCCCATTCCTCGATACATGGGCGCCTCCTGGCGCCGGGAGGCGCCGGGAAAATCAGCTACGCGAGCTGATTCTCAAACCCCCCCTTTGCTATCCCCCCCTTTCGCCCGACCCGAACCTGCAAGTCGTGTGCTTCTCCATCTTGCAGTCCATGGGGTGTCTGTGGGCGCTCTTCGGCCCCGGCCCGCACGCGGGCCTCTCGCGCGGGAGGCGCGCGTGCGGGCGCCGTCACCGTCGCCGCTTGCCTCCTCGGCTCAAGCGTGCCCCCGACCTTTCGGGGGGCGGCAAAGAGGTGGGTGATGCTTACAGTGAGCGGCTTGAATAAGGAACACTTACTTGTAATACGTTCCTTAGGTTTGCATGCGTTTGTTACAGTTCCTTATGCGCTATTTATTATTTATCGATCCTTATGCGTTATTCCTTGGGATGAAAAGGGGCTTCGTTCCTTATTTATCGTTCCCTAGGTCAGGCCGATGACTGTAGGGGTGGGGGTGGATATCATGGCGTGGGCCATGATATTTGCCCAGATTTCCTGGCACCCCTTCTCATTTCATCACGTCCCCGGCCCCCCCCCCCCTGGGCCGCGCACGTGCCGCCGGCCATGATTTGTGCCCCCCCCCCCCCCCCCCTGTCTCGGACGCCCCCTCTTGGCCGCTCCCGAACTTCATGCGTTCCAGGTGTGCCATTCGTGATATTCCAGACTTACGGTCAGAAAGGGATCGACAAGGCGAGTAGCTTTCCAAGGGCCCATCTTTGCATCTTCGGCCAGTCCTTGGGCACTATCGGTGGCCACTTTCTGAGGAAAGGGCCCAGACGGGATGAGGCAAGATGTAGGAGGTCGGATTGGGGAGGAGGAGGAGGCGGAGGAGGAGGCGGAGGAGGAGGAGGAGCAGGAGGAGGCGGAGGAGGAGGAGGAGGAGAACGAGGATTTACCTTCCTGGAGGAGGAGGAGGCGGAGGAGGAGGAGGAGGAGGAGGAGGAGGAGGAGGAGGAGGAGGAGGAGTGATGATGAGAAGGGGAGGGAGGGAGGGGGGAAGGGAGGAGAAAGGTCGAGGAGTGAAGGAAGAATATGAGGACAAGGAGGATAACTTATCTTCCTGGAGGAGGAGGAGGAGGAGGAGGAGGAGGAGGAGGAGGAGGAGGAGGAGAGGAGGAGGGGGGGGAGGAGGAGGAGGAGGAGGAGTGATGATGAGGAGGGGACCGGGGGGGGAAGGGAGGAACAGGAGGAGGAGGAGGAGGAGGAGGAGGAGGAGGAACAGGAACAGGAGGAGGAGGAGGAGTGACTGGAGGACGAGGAGGAACTTGAGGACGAGGATGAGGAGGAGGATGAGGAGAAGGAGGAGGAGGACTTCTCTTCCTGGAGGAGGAGGAGGAGGAGTGCTGACGAGGAGGGGAGGGGGGGACGAGGAGGAGGAGGACGAGGAGGAGGAGGAGGACTAATTTTCCTGGAGGAGGAAGAGGAACGATGAGGAGGTGAGGGAAAGGAAGGGAGTAGGAAGGGACAAGGGGCCGTCGAGCCTTGGAGACGCAGACCGCCCCCCCCCCCGCCGCCTGCGCAGCAAATCTACATGTTCGACACGAGCGGCGAGAGCAAGACTCAGCCGTGGGAGGAGTACCCGGGATTTTGCAAGGACCGGGTGCCACAAGCAGTCGTGCGTCGCAGCGCCGCAGGGGGACAGTCCGCACGCGCGCTCGGGCAAGCCAGGTGACGGCATCGCGAAGAGGCTGGCAGCGAGCGTGGAACACAGAGGGAGGGAGGCGGCCCCGCGGGCGTGGGGGAGGGAGAGCGCCCACGCGGCGGGGCTCGCTGCGGAGCGGCGTCGGGGCGGCCAGTCGAGGCTGCACCCCAGGCAGCGGGCGGGCGGATGCCGCAGGCAGGGAAGCACCGACGTCAAGCTCGGACATGCGCGTCCAATCGGCACTGCCGTAATGCCAGCAAACACGCTCCACGCGATCCAAAGGAGACAGGAGGACAAGGAAGACGGAGGGACACAGGACGATGATCCGACAATTCCTTCACAACACTTCGATTGAAACATCTGGAAAATCGGCGAGAACTAAGTCAAGCAAATGTGGTTCTCGCGTTCGGAGGCTCTTGTTTACCGAGGTAGGCGAGCATGCCGGACAGAATTACACGGATGTCCGCGCAGATTTCGGGACTCGCCAAAGAAACTCCCCTCGTGACGTGCGTCGGGCGCCACCCTGCGCGCTCCCCCAGCGCCGGGGAGAGGAGCCCATCGCCCGTCCAAGAGATCCCCGCGGATTTTCGAAATTGTATGTTTGCGCAGTTGGTTCCTGCTCTGGTCGTCCGAGATTCGTGCGAACCACAACCGGAAACATTTGGGACAGGGTCTTCTCTGGTTTCGGACGTGGTTTGATGTTTCCTGGGTGGTCCCACCATGAGTTTTCCGTTGGCGCTCTTCGCGCGTTTGGGACGCAGCTGAAACCCTAAAATGGGTTTCGGTCCTCTCCGAGGTTCCAGTGTCAAATCTTGGAGACTATACCCACTGGTCGTTGAATGTGTGTATATATATATATGTATATATACATTGGGAGTTCCAGATTCTAATCGACTCAAGGTGCAGTCTTACTTCAAGGGCCGAGCGGTTTTCCGTCTTTCTCCTTTTCAGGGGGCGGGCATGTTTCTGCCCACATCGTCCGATCGACTGATACACCACAGAAAGAGCTGTACTGGTCAGAGGGTTGGCGAGATGGTTGGCCTGGGTCATTGTTGGTTGGCGAGTCTTTTTGCACAACGTACAACATTGTGTGCTTCTCCAGGGCCCCCAAAGGAGCGCGGCTTCACGCCCATCGTCTACCAGCCGCGCCACACCGGGTGGAAGCTGCTGTGTGCGTGCAAGCACAGCCCGACCAGGCCGCTCGCCGATGGCACCTTCGTCCTGCAGTGGATGGACTACAACATGCCCCAGGCCGTCGCGTCCGTGTTCGGTTCTCGACTGCGGGACAAACGCTTCCGTCGGCGGCGGGGCAGAGTTGGCCGCACCGGAGAAGGAGCCAGGCGGGGGCACCGAAGAGCGAGTTGGCCAGCGTGCAAAGGGAGAGGGAGCAGGGCGAGGCGCGCGGCCACGCGGGGGGGGGGAGAGGAGGCCACTCGGGGGCGGGCGAGTCTGCGCCTGAGTCTGCTGGCGCGGCCAGCCCCGCCGGCGGGGGCCGAGGGGAAAGCACGCACCACATACCCTCACTGCGTGGGGTGTCCGCGCAGATGTCTTGGGTCGGCCCTGGACCTCCCCGCGGGGGGCGCCGCGGTCTTTGCCCCCCTTGTGGGACCCGCTGGCTTCGACACCCCTCGCGAGAGGTCGTCGGTGCAAGCAGCACGGCGCCCCCATTCGAGCAGTGGCGAGGCGTCCCGACCTGCCTACAGGCCCACCAAGGAGTGCTGTGTGAAACCCTTGTTGTGGTTTTCTCATGAACTGTTCTCCGCACCGTTCTGGCTGAGACAGTCGTGTTTCGACTTGCCCGTTGTATATTATGAGGGCACGATTGTCGCACTTAGAGCGCTCTCGTGCTCTGCAGCACGTGCGCGGTATCGTCGGGGCGCCGAAGGAGGAACCCTTTTCGTTGGGGAGGGGCTCGGTGCTCCTTGATTGTCGAGCAGCTTGCCTCGGGCTTCCCCGAGGTTCCCCACGGGAGATCGAAGTGTAACTTTGGGGAACACAGGGGCCTCGCTCCTCACCTGGGGCTCCTCGGGCCAACGCCCCGACCGCAGGCCTCGTAGGCCTGTGGGGGTGGCAGGGCGGTGGGCCCCCGGCCGCCCTGCAGGCTCCGCGTTCGTGGGCGGCCTGTTCCTCACGTGGATGATGCACCCCTGAGCGCCCGATGGCCCGAGCCCTGCCGCCCGCCCCCGGGGGCTCGTTTCGATTCCTCCGGCCCGGCTGCTCCCAGCCTGGCTGCCGAGCTCCGCCGATCCGATCGGCGGCGGCGCGAGAGAGGCCGCGGCCCTCGACTCCTCCTCCTCCTCCTCCTCCTCCTCCTCCTCCTCCTCCTCCTCCTCCTCCTCCTCCTCCTCCTCCTCACTCCTCACTCCTCACTCCTCACTCCTCACTCCTCACTCCTCACTCCTCACTCCGCACTCCTCACTCCTCACTCCTCCTCACTCCTCCTCCTCCTCCTCCTCCTCCCCCTCCTCCTCACTGCTCTTCCTCCTCCATTCCTTCTCCTTATAGATAACTCCTCCCTGTCGCACCCCGAGGCCAGTTTTTAGGGCGGGCCGGGAGTTTCGCCTGAGACTTCCTCACCATTTATGCATCTGAAGCTGAAAAGTGTCAACGGTTTCGCAGATGGAGGGCGGGTCGTTTTCAACATGCGGCTCTCGCCTTAGCGCCGCGCAATTCGTTTCAAACATGTGCAAGGTTTTCACAGATTGAGGGCGGGTCGTTTTCAAAATGCGGCTCTCGCCTTAGCGCCGCGCGCATTTGTTGTCAACATTTGCAAGAGCTTCACGGGTTGAGGGCGGGGCGTTTTCACCAATTGGCTCTCGCCTTAGCGCCGCGCACATTCGTTGTGAACATTTGCAAGAGTTTCACGGATTGAGGGCGGGGCGTTTTCACAATGTGGTTCTCGCCTTAGCACCGCGCGCATTTGTTGTCAACATTTGCAAGAGTTTCTCGCATTGAGGGCGGACCATGTTTTAAATGTTGCTCTCGCCTTAGCGCTGCGCACATTCGTTTCAAACATTTGCAAGAGTTTCACGGATTGAGGGCCGGCCGTTTTCACAATGTGTTTCTCGCCTTAGCGCCGCGCGCATTCGTTGTTTGTTTACATATGTACATAATAATTGCAAGAGGTTCACGGATTGAGGGTGGTTCTTTCTCAAATTGTGGTTCTCGCCTTAGCGCCGCGTACATTCGTTTTAAACATTGCAAGAGTGTCACGACTTCCCATGATCAACGTATCAGAAATGGTGTTTTGGAAGCGTTCAGGATTATGCGGGCGCAACAGTTATGTTGATTCGCTGTGTTGAAGTCCCCAACATGGCTTTCTGGCACGATTTTGGATCGTCAAGACGCAGCAGTCAGGTTGATACGTGGCGTTGAAATCCCGAGAACAATGTTTTGGCACGCTTCAGGATATTCAAATTGTTGTCTTCCAACGACGCAGTTCCCTCAATGGGAAAGAACCGCTGTAGGGGCCTATGAAGAGGGAGCTTGGAGGGAGGGTTAATTCCAACATCGCTGATGACTGTTGGGTTTCCACTGGTCACTCCTCCTCCTCCTCACTCCTCCTCCTCCTCCTCCTCCTCCTCCTCCTCCTCCTCACTCCTCCTCCTCCTCCTCACTTCTCCTCACTCCTCCTCCTCGTCCTCCTCCTCCTCCTCCTACTCCTCCCCGCCACCCTGCCGATTCGGCTTGTCGATTCGACTGCTCCTCGAACTGCGTCCATGATCATCCTTTATCTCCTCCGTCTCCCCCTTTCCTCTCTTCTTACTCATTCTGCGCGTCCTCCTTCTCCTCTTCCCCCTCTCCCTATCCTCTTCCTGCGCCTCCGCTTCTTCCGTCTCCCCCTCCTCTTGCTGCTCCCCATGCTCCTCTTCATACCTGGCTGGCGTTGAACGTGCGATGTTGTGCAAAAGGAAATCTGCCCTGAAGTCGTGCGGGCGGGGAGGCGGGTGGCGGAGGATGGGAAGGAGGAGGAGGAGGAGGAGGAGGAGGAGGAGGAGACGGAATGTATGAGTAGGAGGGATCACAGACGATACCGAGCAGGAGTGCATATGGAGAGAGAAGCTCCGGAGGGGAGAGGCGGTACGGAGCGGGGAGAGTCAGGGTAGGAACACCGGGGTTCGAGGAGGCGAGTACGAAGTTAAGGGGCACGAGGACGGAATGACGTTGAGGGAAGGGAGGGAGGTACGCAATTCATGGTGCTGAGGGCGTGGGCAGCAGTTCTTAAAACTGCTCTTGACGATAAGGACGAGGAGCACCGGCATGATAAGGTTAAGTCGGGCCTGTTCCTCTACATGAGGAAAATTCAAAACAAGAAGAATTGTATGGGGCCGATTGTTTGTCTATTCTTGATTTCTTTGAGTATGTATTGAAACATTTATTGTTTTGCCCAAAAAGCGGCCTGTAGGAGGACATGCCCGATCTAATGATAGGGGCCAGGAAGCCGCCACTCCAGCGGGCTCTTTCGACCCTCATCGATGCACATGCATTCCAGAGGAGTCCTGGCTTCGACTTAATTTACCGCGTCGCGGCGGGAGGGTGTCGGGTGTCACTGGCTGGTGAGATGGCGAGTCTGATTTGGGAGAGAGTCGAAGGATAATGATGAGGAGCTGGAAGAGGATGAGGTGGAGGAGGAGCGGGAGCAGGAGGAGTGAGCATAGAGGCAGCAGGGAAAGGGGTTGGAGTAGCAGATTGAGGGCGAGCATGCGATGTCGGACCTGGAACGGCAAAACAATGCTGTCAACGAAGCACGAGGCTGAAGGTGATGGTGAGGAGCTGCAGGAGAGCTGGAGGGCAAAGCGGTACCTGTATGAATCATGTCGACGACCTGATCTTTTTCATGACCAGCAAACATGTCTGTATCCACGCCATCGCGGTCTGGATTCCAGTGCGCGATCCCACGGATACGCGTTCGCGCGGACACGGTTCGCGCTGGACATCCGTGAAAAAATGCCCCGCATCCGCGGGGTCGCGGCCCGGGGGCCCGGCCCGCGAGGCCGCGGATATTGTTACGGTTTTCGCTTGCGACCTTTGGGGCACGCGCTGTGGTGTTGTGTTGTTTGGTGTTGTGTTGTGGTACGTTGTGAAATCTGGTTGTTGTTGCTGTTTATGTTGTTGGTGCTACTGCTGCTGTTTTTGTTGTTGTTGCTGTTGTTATTACTGTTGGTGGTGTTGGTGTTGGTCTTGTTGTTATCGTTTGTGCTGTTGCTGTTGCTGGTGCTGCTGCTGCGGTTGTTGCTGCTGCTGCTGCTGCTGCTGCTGCTGCTGCTGTTGTTGTTGTTGTTGTTGTTGTTGTTGTTGTTGTTGTTGTTGTTGTTGTTGTTGTTGTTGTTGTTGTTGTTAGTAAGGGCGGGGCGCCCCGACCCGTGTCCCCCCCCCACACACAACACTCACAACAACCGTAATTCCGAAGGATTCTTAGGAATTCCTAAGGATTCCTAGGGATTCCGAAGGATTCCTAGGAATTCCAAAGGGTTCCTAGGAATTCCCCCGGGGTTTCCTAGGAGTCCCTAAGGATTCGCAGGATACCCTAAGGATTCCCAGGACTTCCTAAGGATTCGTAGGAATTCCTAAGGATTCCCAGGAGTTCCTAAGGATTCGCAGGAATTCCGAAGGATTCCTAGGAATTCCAAAGCATTCCTAAGGATTCCTAGGAATTCTTAGGAATTCCAATGGATTTCTAGGAATTCCTTAGGATTCCTACGAATTCCCAAGGATCCTTAGGAATTCCAGAGCATCCCTAGGAATTCCAAAGCATTCTGAAGAAATCCTAAGGATTCCTAGGAATTCCTGAGGATTCCCAGGAATTCCCAAGAATTCCTAGGATTCCCGAAGTATTCCTAGGCATTCCAAAGGATCCCTAGGAATTCCTACGGATTCCGTGGAATTCCTACGGATTCTTAGGAATTCCGAAGGATTCCTTTGAATTTCGAAGGATTCCTATGAATTCTGAAGGATTCATAGGAGTTCCTACGGATTCGCAGGAATTCCTAAGAATTCGTAGGAATTCCGAAGGAACCGTAGGAATTTCTAACGATTCCTAGGAATTCCTAAGGATCCGCAGGAATTCCTAAGGATTCGTAGGATTTCCTAAGGATTTCTGAGAATTCCGAAGGATTCCTAGGAATTCCTAAGGGTTCCAAAGGATTCTTAAGAATTCCGAAGGATTCCTTGGATCTCCGGAGGATTCTTCACAATTCCGAAGGATTCCCAGGAATTCCTAAGGATTCCTCGGGATTCCTGAGGATTCCTCGGAATTCCTCGCTTCGCCGGTGCACACATGCTTTTCGCCGGCAGGGATTCGTTGGTGCCAGAGAGGAGGTTCCCAGATGTTCACACAAATAGAATTCAATGGCGTTGTTGTGGTGTTGTGTGGGGGGGGTCGTTGTTGTGGTTGTTGCCAGGGGGGGGGTCCCCAACGGGTCGGCGCTGGCCGCCCTTGCTTTTTTTTTGTTTGTTGTTGTTGTTGTTGTTGTTGTTGTTGTTGTTGTTGTTGTTGTTGTTGAACATTATTAATTCTAAAGAATAATTATTGTTGGGTCCCCTGGTGCACGCCCCCCCCGCCGCGCCTAGGCCGCAGCTACATTTTCATCATTTTCGTGAGGAAGCCTCAGGTAATTCGATGTCATCCAGATCCGGTTGTTTTGTTCCCCCCCGCTTTCCCTTGCAAAAAACACTATAAAATGAAATTTCTTGTTCAAATATACTCAAATTTCAAGAATCCCTTGCAAAAAATAAGGTAAAGTGGACATTCGCGCGCGCAAGACGAAATCCTTCCAAAAGCTTAGTGTTCGGAACGATTTTAACATAAAAACATCAAAAAACCAATGGTTTTTCAACAAAAAAAATGTCAAAATCTCATCCCGCGCGCTCTTGCGGATTCGTAGGAAACCCAACACTTTTTAAACATTTCTGTCAAACGGGCTTTTGCGAGCAACTTTTTCGAACTTCTGCGACAACGGTTGCGCACCTGCCAGGGCCATCATCCCTGTCAAATAATACCATGCGGGACAGATTCGTTTTTTCTTCGCGCGCGCACGCCGAAATCTCCAAAAACCATTGGGTTCTTCACAGCCAGTGTAGTAGCCACGGTCGTCCGCACGCCACGAAGTGAAGTGTCCCAACGTCATAGGGCGGGAAGCTGGGTTTGGGTGGTCGCGAAGAGTCGTTTGGATATTTGGTAGAGCTTGTAATGCCCCCCCACGAAGTGGGGGTATTGCCTGGTGTCGTATGAAAACCCTGGCACTGGGGAGAACACCACGCGTTCGGGTAAAATGATTGTTGTTGTTGTTGTTGTTGTTGTTGTTGTTGTTGTTGTTGTTGTTGTTGTTGAACATTATTACTTCTAAAGAATAATTATTGTTGGGGCCCCTGGTGCACGACCCCCCCGCCGCGCCTAGGCCGCAGCCTCATTTTCATCATTTTCGTGAGGAAGTCTCAGGCAAAACGGAGTCCGGATCCGGTTGTGTTGTTACGATCGGTTTTCCCTTGCAAAAAATCAGCTAAAGTGGACATTTCTTGTTCTAACATAACCAAACTTCAAGAATCCCTTGCAAAAAATAAGGTAAAGTGGACATTCGCGCGCGCAAGACGAAATCCTTCCAAAACCTTAGTTTTCGTAGCGATTTTAACATAAAAACATCAAAAAACCAATGGTTTTTCAACAAAAAAATTGTCAAAATTCATCCCGCGCGCTCTTGCGGATTCGTAGGAAACCCAACACTTTTTAATCATTTCTGTCAAACGGACTTTTGCGAGCAACTTTTTCGAACTTCTGCAACAACGGTTGCGCACCTGCCAGGGCCATCATCCCTGTCAAATAATACCATGCGGGACACATTCGTTTTTTCTTCGCGCGCGCACGCCGTCGTCGTCGGCCGCGGGGCCCTGAATAGTAGCCACGGTCGTCCGCATGCCACGAAGTGAAGTGTCCGAACGTCATAGGGCGGGAAGCTGGGTGTGGGTGGTGGCGAAGAGTCGTTTGGAAATTTGGTAGAGCTTGAACCGGCCCCCCCACAAAGTGGGGGTATTGCCCGCCTCCTATGAAAACCCTGGCACTGGTGAGAACGGAGTGTCCCCACGTGCTAGTAATTGTTGTTGTTGTTGTTGTTGTTGTTGTTGTTGTTGTTGTTGAACATTATTTATTTTAAAGAATAATTATTGTTGGGCCCCCTGGTGCGCGCCCCCCCTGCGCCGCCTAGGCCGCAGCTACATTTTCATCATTTTCGTGAGGAAGCCTCAGGTAAAACGATGTGATCCAGATCCGGTTGTTTTGTTGTAATCCGTTTTCCCTTGCAAAAAACACTATAAAATGACATTTCTTGTTCTAATATAATCAAATTTCAAGAATCCCTTGCAAAAAATAAGGTAAAGTGGACATTCGCGCGCGCAAGACGAAATCCTTCCAAAAGCTTAGTGTTCGGAGCGATTTTAACATAAAAACATCAAAAAACCAATGGTTTTTCAACAAAAAAATGTCAAAATCTCATCCCGCGCGCTCTTGCGGATTCGTAGGAAACCCAACACTTTTTAAACATTTCTGTCAAACGGGCTTTTGCGAGCAACTTTTTCGAACTTCTGCGACAACGGTTGCGCACCTGCCAGGGCCATCATCCCTGTCAAATAATACCATGCGGGACACATTCGTTTTTTCTTCGCGCGCGCACGCCGTCGTCGTCGGCCGCGGGGCCCTGAATAGTAGCCACGGTCGTCCGCATGCCACGAAGTGAAGTGTCCGAACGTCATAGGGCGGGAAGCTGGGTGTGGGTGGTGGCGAAGAGTCGTTTGGAAATTTGGTAGAGCTTGAACCGGCCCCCCCACAAAGTGGGGGTATTGCCCGCCTCCTATGAAAACCCTGGCACTGGTGAGAACGGAGTGTCCCCAGTCTTAAATGATTGTTGTTGTTGTTGTTGTTGTT